AAAAGGGAAATAAACTCATGGAGTAATATGAAGGTGGATATTTGTCTTCAATGAGGAGTTTACCATAGCGACATCTTCCTATCTGGTTCCTGACCTGCCTCCAAGTAGCAGAGCTCCTCTTCCATCCCTAAACTAACCTCTTGGAACATCATAAAGAACTCCAAAGACTCCCCCAAGTCCAGATCCTAGAAAGTAAAGCATGGAGCAAAAGGAAGTTTCTGCTCCATCTTGCTTAAAGCACACCTTTCAAATTCTGGTTTCTTGAATGATTTATACATGAATGTCCAACTTTTTCTTAACCAGCTCCTCATGATATGAGAAACCTAATATTGCCCGGAGACATTGAACATACATTTGTGCTAGAGAATATCATTTGGTTACAAAATGTATTTGACTTCAATATATCTACAATTGCTTATTTAGACAGACAGAGCTCTAAATGAGGTTCAAATCATTAGCTATATAAACAAAGATTAATCCTTTCACATTAATCTTGAGTCTATTCATGGTCTGGTATCTGTTTTCTGGTAACTCATTGTGGTGTGACTCAGATAATTTTGGTAATCAGTGTTTTTTTATTCTAGTATCCTATATGTTGTTGCTAATTTATACCCCCAAAGCATTAATATTTTATGATGCAAAGAGTAATTAGAAAAAGAAAAACTTCAGGTTTAACCAGGTAGATTTAAATTTGTACCTTCACAAAGGTGCCTTTTATTCATAAGTATGATATTCTTAAAGTGAGCATTTATTATTGTTATGGGCTGAATTGTGTCCCCTCCTCCCAAATTCACGTTACAGTCCTAACCCCCAGTACTTTAGAATGTGACTGCATTTGGAGATAGAAGTAATTAAGGTAAAATGAGGTCATATGGGTGGGCCCTAATCCAATATGCCTGGTGTCCTTATAAGAAGAGATTAGGACACAGACAGACACAGAGTGAAGGCCATGTGAAGACAGAGGGAGAAGAAGATGGCCATCTGCAAGCCAAGGAGAGACCCCTTAGAAGAAAGCAAATCTGCTGACACTTTGACCCTGGACTTCTAGCCACCAGAACTGTGAGAAAATTTCTGTTGTTTAAGCCACCCACTCTGTGATATTTGTTAGAGCAGCCTTAGCAAGCTAATACAATAATGAAAACCAACAATATTCTGGTGAGTTTTGCCAAGTGAAAAGTGGAGCTGCCTTCTCTCATGACACTGTTTAAAGTACTGCCTAGAATGGGCCTGTTTGCTGAAAGTGTCTGATGTCTCTTTCATAAAGGCCTTCTGTTTACTATAACCCTGGAATAAGTCTCAGGAGGTCAGTTGAAGTTCAGAGATGCTCAATATTGGGCTCAAGGCCTTCATGGAAGGTAGGTCAGTTCAGAAGCAATTTCAGGTAGGACCCAGAAACATCATTTTATTTAGCCCTCTTGGAATCAAGTCTACAGGGACCTAGCTCCAGAAATCCCAGAATTTGGGTTACATCTGTCATGATTACTTTGCATTGTTACCCCTTAGGCCTAGTTTGCAGATGCTGACTTGGGCCTGGTTTGGGACTGGACTATAAATGTGAAGGGTAGGTCAGAAACAATTGGTTTCCTCATATTTCCTCAGTGTAATTGCTTGGGACATCTTTCTCTGTTTCTTAGTTATTTTCTAGAGATTTATCTTAATGAACATTGGTAATACGAGTGTGGGCTGGGAAGGGAGTAGGTTATGGAGAATCTACGTATAGGGAGAGGGGAAGGTGGGAAACATGGAGAGGATTCAATTGGCCTCCCACCTTTACTTTATCTAAAGCAGTTCAGAAAATCCAAGTGAGTCAGCTCCAGTACTCCCTATTTTGTGCATATGTTCACGTTTGAGGATGTTATTCCCTCTTCCTACATGGATGATTTACACAGGAGAGGTCTCAGGTCCCAGTTGTACTTTAACCAGGTTTTTAAGTTAATCCAAACTCTATTCTCACACCCTCCAATTTCCCATTCCTTACCCTTCCTCATCCCCACCCTGCCCTGAATTGAGAGCTGATTGTACTTCTTTGCCTCTGGGTACATATCTAATATCACACATAGTACTGGCACCTGTCAAAAGGTAGGTGCTGTGACATTAGAATGAAGATTCCTACTATTTCTTCCTTTTAACTTTCATAGATCCTTATGTTTACTATGCAATAATCACCAAGCTACTTTATATTCTAGTTGTTTATGTGCACATCTTATTGTAATCCTCCTACTAGACTGTTAAATTTCTTTAAGGAAGGGACACATGATTCATTCATCTTTGTATTTTCTCCTCCCACCCCAGCCCTTCCTGCTCCATAACTCCTTCCTCAACAGCATGATGTTTATCTATAAACACGGAGTGGGGTAGATATGTGATCTGTCCAACCTTTCTTAGTCTCTGTTTCATTTGTTGAAATAAGTGGATTGGTATCTAAGGTCTTTTCTAGCCTTAATATAACAAACGATGCTTTAGGTTGACAAATGTATGCACATTCCAGAGCAATATTTAAGCATATGGTAGCTTAAAAATTACTTAGTATAACCTAAAAAACATAGATTAGCCTCAAAAAAAAAAAAAGAAAATCAGAAAATACATTGAAAAAATTGATAAGTAATTATTTTAACTGATTTGTGTGTCGTCTAAAAAACAGCATCAATATTTTTTTAGAGTTCATGCTAAGAGCAAAAACGTATTTGATGACTTGTTATCCTCATCTGACTGATCAAGAAACTAAAGACTATAATGACATATATAAAATGGATTTTAAAAAATCCTTCGAGTACTTACTATGGGCCATGCACTGTTCTAAGTCCTTTATGTGAAATGACTCATTTAATTTTCACAGTATATCAGTGGTGGAGGCTGGGGCAAGAGTTTAAATTTTTAGGTATTCCATATTAGAATTGAATAATAAAATATAAAAAAAAACTAAATTGTTTAAATTGTGTTAAAGCTACAAAATAGTGATTTCTAAGCACAAATGACTATAAAACATTTAAGCTGTTTGTCTTTAGTAATTCATTCTTAATGTATCTTACCTCAGGATATTCTCAAACACTGTTTCACTGGATTAATACAAATTTCACTGAATTAAAACAAATTATACTATTTTAAGAGTTTAGAAGTTTAAATATATACATATCTAAAATTTAAATTTCAAATGTCTTATTTGATCTTATTTATATTAACTCTCAACACCCTGAAAAATGTTAATATCATGTATAAATAACAATAGCAAAAAATTTTAAACAGAAAAATCAGGGAAAAAATAGATGCAGTCTCAAGGGACAAATTATTCCCTGTATCTTATAGGTCTAGTCTAATTGGGGAGTTCAAAGCATATAAATGACTTCTCATAGATTAGTTTTTTTGTAAACACTTAGGTGTTTTTTTCAAAGCTGCTCTTCTTTTTCTGCCAAATTTTTCTTTTTAATTATATTATTAAAATGAATTTTGGGAAGCCCCTCCATTTTGAACTTATTTTTAACTGAAATATTGATGAAATAAAAATAAATGTAACTTAAAAATCATATTTTATAAGGAAACCTTGAAGGGGCTTTACCAACTGAGGTACAACTATAAATAGTTCAAAGAAATTATATTATCTAGGTTGCTTGTAATGGAGGTTGGGTTACGTGCTTCACCTAAACAGGGAAGTTGGCATGTTTGCCTAGCAACAGCCGCTAAAACCTTCTGTTGTGGAAGGTTCCCTAGGAGTGAGGAGAAGGGAGGAGGAGGAAAAGCAGGAGGAACAGCTTAGTCTGTTTTTTCTAGCAGGGGACTGAGGCCTGGCTATTTGAGGAGGGAAAGGCTATCCAAGAGATAGACTTTAGATTAGCACATGCTAACCTAACCCCTCTGTGGTAGCTAGAAATTTGCTCTTTGGAGGACTGGAGGTACTGTTTAGCAGGTTGAAGAGAAGGTTACAGATTTAGCCCACTTCAAAGGGAGTAAATTCCAGTCAATAGAAAGACATCAATAGGTCTTCTAAAAAGAAGCTGAAATCTGAGTAGCAGGAGGGTGTTAGCAACTAAAAAGAGCTCCTCCGTGCTCAGAATTTAGGAAGCTGTGTGATATATTATTTACAAATAATATAAACACACTATCTGTCATAGTGATTGAATTTATCCCATTAAAGGCAGAATACCACTTTTCCTACTATTGGTGATGTCTGCTCACTTGGCCAACACTTGAGCAAAAAAAGGATGATAATGCAGAGGAGTCTTAACTGGTTGCTTATTTGAGGACCATCTCCCCTATTCTAGACGATTTATTTTGAAACAAGGACCATACGGAATAAAAAGAATTCCATTTCTCTTCCTTCTTAAAAGCAAGAGTTTGGCTAAACCGAATTGTCTTGAAGGGGACTCCCATTACCCCAAATCAAAATGGCTTCTTTTCCATGAGGGAGACGGAATTTTCAAGGGTCACAAGGTTAGCTTTTAGATCCAGCGGCTCTAATAGAGGCCGAATCTTTGCCTGTCCCCCCTGAGCCAGACAGCTATTATTGTTCACATAGGCCTGGAGGGACGTTTTGGAGCATGTGTCCAGGCCTTTGGGCTGTTTCGCCGCGCGGGGAGGCTCATCTCGGAATTCCGTGAGAGGGGTGACTAGGGCAAAGCTGGTGTGATAGACAACCGGGATAAAACGAGGTAACACATTCTTCCGGAGGTAGGGCTGGGGGAGGGGAGATGTGAAAAAGAAACAAGAGTAGAGAGTCAAGAGCTGAGAAAGCCAAAGGGGCAGAGGTAGTGCGAGATTCGATGGAAATGTCAGAAATTTTCCAATTCGCCCTGGCCGTCTGGCCACTTGCCCGCTGGGCGCGAAGGCGCTGCGGGGGGAAAGGCCGGGCAGACGGACGGACCAGTTCCCCGGCTCAGGGCGTGGGTGGCACGCTGGATCCAAGCGGTGCGCGTCGCCACCCTCCCCGCCGGGCGTTGGTGGCCGGTGACTCAGAGCTTTGGTCCCGCGCCCGCCCGCCCCGCCCCTCCGCGTGCCCCGCCCCCGGTAGGCGGAGCCTCGCCCTCGTCTCCGCCCCAGTCTCCGGGGCGGGCCGGAGTCCGAGGAAGAGGAAGGGGACGAGGACAACGAGCGACGGGGCGGAGGAGGAGGAGGAAGAGGAGGCAGAGCAACAAGATGGCCCCTGCTGCAGGAGCAGCCTCAGCAGCAGCAGGTGGGAGCTCGGAGGCGGCGCTGGCGGTGGCGGCGGCGGCCGTGGCTCGGCGGCCTGGGAAAGAGTCAGAGTCGACGGTGGCAGCAGCGGCGGCGGCGGCTGCCGCGGCGGCGGCGACGGCCGCGGGGACTCGGAGCTGAGAGGAGCTGCTGCTCGGACCAGCGCGGTGAGCGAGCGGCGGGCGGCGGCGGCGTGGGGAGCGGGGCGGCCGCGGCCCGGCCTCTGCCGGGAACAATAGGCAGCTGCGGCGGGGAAGGGGCTGTCCTCGCCCGCCCTCCGCTCCTCGGCGGTAGCGCCCGCCCGCCCGGCCCCAGGCCCCGCCGGCGACCGAGGGGCTTGTCAGTGGCCAGCGTCCTTTAGGCCTCAGGCCTCCGCGTGCAGCCTGGAGGGCCTGCCGGGGTGGGGAGGCCGTGGGGAGGTGCGGACGCCGCCCTGGACCAGGGAGGGCGACGGAGGCTTCGGCCAGAGGGAGGGGGCCGAAGGGCTGCTCGGCTCCTCTGTTCCTCCAAGGGTCTCGGCCGGGAGGGGAGTGCGCCCGGGAAGGGCTTTTTGGACCCCTACTCTGTGGGGGTGGGGGAGGAGAAGGCGTCTGTAAACAGGCGCCGCCTCTGCCTCCCTGCACCTCGGGGCTGCTCCCTCCCCCTCAGGGCTGCTTCCTTCCCTAACCCTTGGAGTGCTCCCCTTCCTCGGCCCAGTGGGTTTTATGACGTCTCTTTCCCTGGAGCTCCTGGAGATCGAGCCAGATAGGCTTCTTTTTTCCTGGTGGCGATAGGGAAATTGTGTATGCAGGTGTCTTTAAAAAAAATAATTTAAGTGCAACAACAACAAAAAATACACAAGGTAAAATGTGATTATCCATAGAGGTTGGAGAGGGATGGAGGGTTAAGGGATGTTCATCTTTAAACCTCTCTAGGCATCATTTCTCTCTGAACATCAGTTATGTCCACGGCCCGGGTGACAGGGAAACAAGGGCCCTTTTGGGAGCAGTAATGATATAACTCTTGACATCCCAGAATAGTCCATGAAACTGGAAACAAAGCCACTTACTGGCAACGCGAAGACAAATTGTAATGTTTGAATAGCACTTTTTTTCAAACGAACTGTTTTGAATTATTAATGTGCCGCGTAAGAAACAACATTAACTAGCATAAAATGGACCTAATGAAGCATTTCTTCAAGAGACAGAAGTGGTTCCTCTCCAGGCTAGAACTTCTTGTGTTCTGTCTCATGTTCTGATTTCACCTTTCAGTGATTTATCCTAAAATTGTTCAAGACCAATCCTTTCCTCTGAGTTTGAAATTGGATTTCTAAAGCAAATTTTATAAAATTTCAAAACTTTCTTATAGTTTTCAAAAACTGGAAACAACTGTTGTTCTGTTTCTCATGTTTAGACTTACCAAGAGAGAGCTCTTCATTGTATTTACCCTCCGGTTGTGGTGTCTGAAACTTGAACAGTTAACTACTATTTCTCCTAAACCTAATTTTTCAAGACTTCTGCCATGTCCATTTACAAGTGAGGGGGGAAAATGATTTAAGTTATTTCTATTCCGGTTTCTACCCAGGTGTGCAGAAATTTATATTAAAATTGTTTGGATGCATCTAAGAAGATTGCTTTTCCCTGTTTAACATTCAGTCGCATGGTCCATCTAGTTTGTGTTCTTAAAAGGAAGATTTACCTGTGCAGAGAAGGTGCCGGTTATCTTTCACCCATTTTTAGGGTAAATTTCTAATTAGAATTGCCCATGTCTGTGGTAATTCAAAGCATTTTCAGGTTATATGAAGTTTAATGAGCGACCCTAGCCCTTAGTTCTTCCACAAGAGTTGCCAGTAAATAGACTTGCAATTGAATAAACGTGGAGATTGAGCTATCTTATTGTTTAGGCATGAAGTATAGTGGATGGATATGAATGACTTTCATTTAATGCTTAGCATAAATAATGTTGTGGATATTTAGACTTTTTAAGTGGTGGGGAAAGAACTACTTTCACGTGACTCCTGCTTATGTGAATTTTCTGGGAATAAGTTTCAGAAAGGACACTTTTTTTTAAGTGCTCAAATCCATGATTTTTTTTTTAAGCTAAATTTTGATAGGTAGAATGCAAGTCAAGTCTATATTGTAATGATACTTAAATTTATCTGTGACCCTAAACCTGTTAGAACAATTGTAGTAATTTAGGAGTTTGTAAATTCTAAGTGGTTAGTGTGCTTTGTTATGAAAAAAAAAATCTCATCATGTTATGTCAAGGACTAATTTGCATCATACTTAATATCATTTTCCTGAAAACAAAGATTTTTTGTGTTTGAAATTTGGATGTTGACCCAACAATTTATGGGTTGAGTCTAGGTCCCTATTTCTGTTTAATATGGAAAAATCTTTGAGAGAATTCTGTTTTTATTTGTGTTTTAAGATGTGATCCCTCAATTGTCATGTCTTCAATGTCAATGTTTATTCTAATTATTTCAGTTCAGATTTTCTTAAGTAATATTTAAGAATTTCCTTCTAAGAAGTTTTGGGACCATAGCTGCTGAATTAGATTTGTATTTTCTTGGTAGTATTAAAAGTTAATATGTTTGATTCATTTGAAGAGATTTAAAAAGTTTTTTTGGTACATAAAAATTTTAAAATGACAGTTTTTCAAAGCATATTTGTTGAATGAGTAAAACATTCTCATTTAATCCTCCTAGTTAGGCTGTAATACTGGTGGTATTGTTCTCACTTTATATATGAAGAATTTGAGGCCAGGAGAAGCTAAGTAACTAGCAAAATGGCCACATAATTAGTAGGTAAAAGAGCTTACTCAAACCCAGGTCTTATGACACAAATTAGATGCTTTACCACTGCCACCCTATGTCTCAAGGTTAAACTTTGAAACATCTCCTGTTTTGACAAATTTCTTGTTTTGACCGTGAACTAAGTTTGTAATTCTGTACTTGCCTTTAGCCCTAATATCCTTTCTATTATCATTATTTGTACTCTGCCAAATATTCAGTTATAAGTTTGAGAAAGTATTTATTCATGTGAATTACAAAAGAAACACTTATTTTTGTTTTTAGCAGATCTGAATGCTGTAAATGTAGAAACTCATCCCATTTACATAGGACAGATTTGTGGTATTGCCATGATTGTTTCATGGCTTTCATTTGTTATGTAAGCGAGTACTAAATTGTCTTTGAAATACTTTATGAAAATTTAAAAATGACTTTAGTAACATTCAGTGGTGTTCAAGTTGGATCAGCTAACATTTGAAATTCTTCTTTTATAATTTTTTTTAAGCCATAGACTGTTTAGAATTCTGCAGCATTTTTTATCTCCAGATTTTAGGGCTTGAAATGGAGTTTGATGGGTTTAAGCAGTCTACTCTTGCATATATCTTGAAAGTGGTTGGCATCCAGCAAAGTGAAGAATAAACTGGTAAATGATCCTTGTTTGGTGGACACCTCGGAGCAAGATGTTCCTTGGCAGGGTATACTGACCTGTTTTTTTTAGCTTTGGCCCTGTCAGTGCTCAGGAGTTCAGGTGTTCTTTGGGGTTGGATTCAAATGGATTTAAATTTTCAGATTGGCCTGCATTGAAACAGTCACAGCAGCCTGTTCGTAGGATCCTCTTTAAGATCTCCTTCTCTTTTGTTTAATCCTGGAGTCTAGCCTGGATTTGGACTAGCCTTGGAGATTACAGCATAAGATTAATTTTGTCAAGCAGTTATACAAAGGAATTTTTGTCACTCCAAAGTTTCTTTAAGGTAGATTCTATACGTTTTCAATTGTGAAATTTATTAATCTAAAGTAATGTTGCCCTACATCCCCAAGACAGTTAGCTTTAACATATTTATTTATATCCATTATCAGTCAGACTTGTGCCTGTCTACTTCTTATATAATATTCTTGTTTACTCTTTATATAATACCGGACACTTCTTATCAGTTCACAATGTTTTCTTTTTTAACAGTTTTTTTAAATTAATTAATTAATTAATTTTTTTGTGAGGAAGATCAGCCCTGAGCTAACATCCATACTAATCCTTCTCTTTTTGCTGAGGAAGACCGGCTCTGAGCTAACATCTATTGCCAATCCTCCTCCTTTTTTTTCCCCCAAAGCCCCAGTAGATAGTTGTAGGTCATAGTTGCACATCCTTCTAGTTGCTGTATGTGGGATGAGGCCTCAGCATGGCTGGAGAAGCGGTGCATCGGTGCGCGCCCGGGATCCAAACCCGGGCCACCAGTAGTGGAGCGCACACTTAACCACTAAGCCACGGGGCCGGCCCCACAATGTTTTCTTGATTGACGTTTGGGAAAAGAATTATAGTACAAAATTTGAGTTCCCCCTACATGCAGAGTTGAGCTGACTGAAATTGCATTCCGTCGTAGAGGAATAAATGTTTTAAGGTTCATTTATATTTTTCTTTGAGATTATTTACAAATGTATGTCAGAGCAGTATTCTTTTGATGTTTGTCGAGCGTTTTAGCATTGATGTCAGTACATACCTCACTGATTATTACTGTGCATATATGGCAATAATTTAACTTGTAATACCTTTTATCTAAAAATCTCCAAGATCTAAATAACATTTGAACATGGGCAGCAATGTTTTTGAAGAAGAGTTCTAAAGGGGTCAGTTTTATCTATCTATGTTAGCATAAACTTTTTTCATTGAGGTTCAATTCATGTAACATAAAATTGACTGTTTTAAAGTAAACAGTTTAGTGGCAGTACATTCACAGTGTTGTGCAACCACCAGCTCTAATTCGAAAACATTTTTATCACCCCCAAAGGAAACTGTACCCATTAAGCAGTTACTCCCCATTCCACCTTCCCCCTAGTCCCTGGCAACCACCATTCTACTCTCTGTCTCTATGGATTTAATATGAAATCATTTTGAGGCAAGATTGAGGAAGAGTACTATGTATAATTGAAACTGCAGAAAAAACTTTGGGATATGGTTGTAAGGAATCAAAACCACCTCATTCTTTGCATGCTTCTGTAAGTACAGTTGGCACACTGCCGGGGGAAGAAAAGTTGGAAGTCACAGCAATATGTAGTTTTAGTCTTTATCACTCCAAAGGAGTTGTACTCAAACTCTCAGACTCATTGTGTTTCCTCATTGGGTTGTGAGAATTAACTAAATTTTAATGTTCTATACAAATGTGAGCAACTAATACTTATTTAGTC